ACCTGCCGGCTCCGGCTCCGGCTCCGACTCCGGCTCCGGCTCCAGCTCCCGCTCCGGCTCCGGCTGCAGAACTGACCCCTTCCGCAGCACCAGCCGCAACAGCCCCGACTCTGGAGCAGGAGCTGCAGGAAGCGATCCGGAGGGCGCAGGTGAGAGGCAGTGGGCAGGTGGTCTCCGGTCGGGATTCGGGCCAGAGTCCCAGGTTCACTCCGCTTCTGTCTGTCCGTCCGCAGTTGCTTCCGAACCGGGGCATCGATGACATCTTGGAGGGTCAGGACGAGCCTGATGGTAAAGGCCGAACTCCTAGATTTGGGGGCAAAAGGGGCTGAGGTTCTGGACTCCTGCGAACGGGGAAACCCCTAGGGGGCTGGGGGCCGGACCCCCGCCTTCCTAAACTCACGCTCCATTTCTTCCCCCGCAGACCTGCTGCCCCCTATCCCCCTGGACTTCCCTGGCTCCTTCGACGTGCTGTCCCCTTCCCCAGACTCTGAAGGCCTCTCCTCTGTCTTCTCTTCCTCGCTCCCGTCCCCCACAAACTCCCCATCCGCCTCTCCCAGGGGCCCCACCGACTCCTTGGACTGGCTGGAAGCTCTGAGCGGGGGTCCTCCGCTGGGCTGCGGCCCCCCGGCCCCCAGCATCTTCTCTGCTGATTTATCGGACTCCGGCGGCCCCCGGCTGTGGGACCTGCTGGAGGGTCCATGGTGATGGATTCTAGGGTTTCAAGGGACGGAGAACCGGTAGGGACGGGGAGTCACAGAGAGGACTCCCTGAGGGAGGGGTTGGAACCCCGCCCACCCCAGACCCAGGATCAGAAGCAACTCTCATCTCACCTGGGCCCTAAACTGCTGCCAGACAGCCAACCACCTGACTGTCCCTGCCCGACCTCCTAGGCTCCCCCCAGGGCTGTGTGCTGGGGGCGGGAGCCTCATTCGCTGCTGGCCGGGCAAACAAGCTGCTTGCTGCTTCCCCAGACACCTCTCCGATGTCTTCTTCTCATCCCGCCGCCGACTGCAGGGCTACCTGTGGCTGGGGCACCTGGAGGGTGCTCTATGCTCTTGGGGTGCAGAGAGGGGGAGGGAGGAGTGGGGAGGGAGGACCAGCAGCTAGACCCTTGGCTTCTGGTTGGAGATGAGAACATCAGAAACAGCGTGTCCCAGGTCAGATCCTGAGCAGAGCCTGAGGCAGCACTCCTGTGTCCACGATTTCTTAAAGAGGTGCCCCCAGGAGAAACCAAAAAGGGAGGGGTGAGCCAGGACAGCGAGGGGGAGAAGACCAACAAGAGGGTGACGTCGGGTGAAGTCCCCATCTCAGCCCAATCCCGGAGGATGAATTAAGTTGCAGGGTTGTGCCCGCTGGTGGGCTCAGCGGCTGAGTGTCGACCCAGGAACCAAAAGGTCACCGGTTCGATTCCCGGTCGGGGCACATGCCCGGTTTGCGGACTCCCTCCCCAGTAGGGGTGCATGCAGGAGGCAGCCGATTGATGATGTTTCTCTCTCATTGATTTTTCTAACCCTCTCTCTAGAAATAAAACCATATTTTTATTTTTTAAATGTTTTTATTGATTTTTTAAAAATATATTTTATTGATTTTTTACAGAGAGGAAAGGAGAGAGATAGAGAGTCAGAAACATCAATGAGAGAGAAACATCGATCAGCTGCCTCCTCCTGCACACTCCCCACTGGCGATGTGCCCGAAACCAAGGTACATGCCCTTGACCGGAATCGAACCTGGGACCTTTCAGTTCACAGGCCGACGCTCTATCCACTGAGCCAAACCGGTCGGGGCCTTTTTTTTTTTTTTTTTTTTTTAAGGTGCAGGGTCGTTCCACCTTGAGGCAAAGGGAACTGGGCCTTTAAGGCAAAGGGAGATCCCAGTTTGGGTTTATATCCCTGAATAACAAACCACCCCAAACGTAGAGTCTTAAAATAATAACTATGATTGCTCACAATTCCAGGGGTGGACTGGGCTCAGCAAGGCAGTTCTTCGACACCGTCTGATGTCAACTAGGGCTGCAGTCATCTTAGGGCCCAACCAGTTGCAAAATCCACGATGCTGCTCGCAGGCATGCCCGCGCCTTAGCAGGGACGGCTACTGGGCTGGACTCGCCTGGGCTGTGGGCCTCTGCGTTTCTCTCACTCTCTGCGTAGTCTCCGCCCTCTCCCTCTCCACGTGGCCTCCCCAACAGAGGCAGGGACTCCTTACATGGTAGCTCAGGGCTCCCCAAAGTGAGCGTTTCTAGAGGAGGAAGCAGAACTTTCACCATTTTCTTTTTAAAAAAATAGATTTTTATTGATTTCAGAGAGGAAGGGAGAGGGAGAGAGAGAGAAACATCAATGATGAGAGAGAATCATTGATCAGCTGCCTCCTGCATTCCCCCTACTAGGGATTGAGCTGCAACCTGGGCATGTGCCCTGACCAGGAATCGAACCGTGAGCTCCTGGTTCATTTGTTAACACTCAACCATGGGGCCACATCGGCCGGGCACCATTTTCTATTGGTTAATCCAGGCTAAATATGGGAGGGGACTACTAAAATTTGTTAATATCAGGGTGGTGGTGGCATAGTCATTGGAGGCCGTATTTGGAGACTAGTTAGTCATGGGCTATAGGACCTGAGAGGGGGCTGGGACACAAACTTTCAAGCACTTTGACCCCACGGGTGATCCTAGGAAGAAGGTCACAGGGTAATTGGTTAGCAGCAAAGTTTTAAAATGTACATATTAGTATTATTCAGGTTTGATGAAGTCAACAGATCAGGATCCGATTGCCATTGAAAAGAGAGTCTGTTATTCTCAGTTCCCAAAAGAAGGGAATACTCCTGCCCTAGCCGGTTTGGCTCAGTGGATAGAGTGTCCGCCTGCGGACTGAAGGGTCCTGGGTTCGATTCCCGGTCAAGGGCACATACCTCAGTTTCAGGCTCGATCCCCAACCCTGGTTGGGCGCATGCGGGTGGCAACCAATGGATGTGTCTCTCTCACACTGATGTTTCTCTCTGTGTGTCTCCCCTCCTCCCTTCCACTCTCTCTAAAAGTCAATGGAAAAATATCCTTGGGTGAGGATTAACAACAAGGACAAAGAACGGAATTTTCCAAGCCATGCAGGGCCGCATGGGGAAGCCCCAGTGTCAGCCAGGAGGCAAAGGGAGAGAGGGGAAGAGCATTTATTGTGGTTCCCTCAAGAAGGAACAACTGAGGCAGAGCCCTAGCTGGTTTGACTCAGACGGAAGGGTCCCGGGTTCGATTCCACTAAAGGGCACACGCCCGGGTTGTGGGCTCTATGCCCAGTAGGGGGTGTGCAGGAGGCAGCTGATCGATGATTCTCTCCCATCATTGATGTTTCTATCTCTCTCTCCCTCTCCCTTCCTCTCTGAAATTAATAAAGACATATTTTTTAAAAGGAACAGATGAGGCAGGTGAACCGGTGTGAGGTTGGCTAGTGCGAGTGATTTCGGGTCCCTCTCCCTTCCTCTCTGAAATTAATAAAGACGTATTTTTTAAAAAGGAACAGATGAGGCAGGTGAGCCGGCGTGAGGTTGGCTAGTGCGAGTGATTTCGGCGGGCTCCTGGGCCCCCAGGTGCCTGGAGCCTCGCCCTGGGGCAATCAGGCAGAGAACAGTGTCCTGGGAAGTGGCTGGGAGTCCAGGCTGTGGGTTGCTAGGTTTGCATACGAAAGGCCTGTGCACAGGCGGGTTCTTTGTTACGTCCAGGAAGTAGCTGGCCCTGTGGGGGGCAGGCCCTCCACTGTCAACAAAGCCTCAGATGTCAAACCACAAATAC